CCTCTCTGCCTGCTGCTGCTGCTCCTCTCTGCCTGCCGTTGCGCTCTGCCTCTATCCACAGAACTTTCCCCCGCCTTTCAGAGACTTATTGCTGGGTCAAACTCTAAGTTACAAACTGTACACATTGCATTCTTGCTAATTAGCCAAAATATGAACGGAATAAGTAGCAAGCATCGTAACAAACAGAGTAAAAATAAATAGGGACAACAGCTTGTCAACTAACCATTCAGAAACGTCCTGCTGCAACCGAGATGTTTGCACCTCCACCAAAACCTCCGCTGCTTCAGGGTCAGTTCTGGATCAAATTGATAATATGCTTGAACACATGCATTGCTCTGAGATGACATGTTTATTCCACACTCGTAATCACAGCAAACATGGTAACGTGACTCTCGCCAGCTCATGCCCCCCTCTTCTGCAGGGGGGCGGTGGTCAGCTGCTGCTCAGAATTTTCAAAGACAGGCTTGGAATAGAGCGAAAATGAGCAAAACGAGGCATGGCTAAAAAATGATCTGTTTGGTATTTTGAAAAATAAAATGTATAAATATACCTTATATAGGTACGGTCATACACTATATCATTTAAATATAGCATGATAGGTCTCCTTTAAATATCACTTTGTGGTTACCTCTTTTTGAACATTTTTGTGAACAGAAATAGAGCTCTCAAAGAAAACACAGGAATGATCAGAGAGTGCAACATCAGTCACCACAACCTTAGAGATATTCAGACCCTTTGAGATAATTAAGTCCAGAGTGTGCCCCTTATTGTGCGTGGGCTCCGTCACATGCTGAGTCAGTCCATAGTTATCAAGAACACAAAAAAGTTCTCTAGCCCCTCTGTCCTGGGGGTTGTCAACATGGATGTTAAAATCACCAACAATGACTAGACGGTCAAAGTCAATACACACTAAAGACAGCAGTTCAGTAAAGTCATCAAAAAAGCTTACACAGTATTTGGGTGGTCTATAAATATTTAGGAACAGAGCTCGAGAGGAGCATTTCAGCTGAAGGGCCACATATTCAAAAGAAGCAAAGTTCCCATAAGATGTCTTCCTGCATTGAA